ACGTAGACCGGATAATCAAATTTCGATGATTTTTCAACTAACTGGAGTAAGGCAAAGCTCTAGTCAGAAGTACTTCAGCAGTAAGACAACACCGACGCCACACTACTCTTCTTGTGTCTTAGAGTCAGCTATTCCACGCCACCTTCTTTCTCGCACCTTTACGTAGACTTTACTCTGGATGATCAATAAAGTTATGCCTCCGATAACTGGAACATTCTATGGTCTTCTTTCTTTAACAGTAGTACTATAACACTCCAGCTTCTCAGTCCACTGGAATAATACCTTGAGCTTGACAGATACTGTTGACAAAACATGCCCCGCCTTGATCGCCTAACGATTTAAACATTTCAAGGCGAATTTCATTGCTTCCAGCAGCCTTGACATTTTCGAAGCTTTTTTTGAAGCTTCTGCGATTTCAACTGCTAAAAGACCTTACCTTCTGCTCTTCAGGAGAGTCTTTTGCGGTTGTGCGGTGTTAAGGAGTTCCTCAAAGTATTCTAGCCCTTATTTTCGGTAAGAGGATGTCAAGACCTGTCCTTCAAGTTTTTTAGACTGCTCTTCTTTTCACATCGTAGCCAGCGAATGGTCTGCCGGAATACCTTGCCTGCCGTGTGGAAATTCGACTCCAACACCTCACCAAACTCCTGCCAGGAATCGGCTTCAGTTTTCGCTTTTTGCTGCCGCCTTGCGCGCTTCTTCGTACCGCCAGAGAACTGAAGGTTCTTCGCTTCCAAGCCATGTCCTGAATGCAGTTTTCTTCTCGGTAACAGCCAGCTGTGCGGAATTCGTTTCTGATCTACAGATGGCAGAGCAAACAGTGTTAAACCATAGATTTCGGAGACAGCGCGAGAAAGTCGTCCTTAAACGGTCATCAGTCATCGGTCATCACCGGAATCTGTTCAAACCGTCGTGCGATGTCGTTTGCAGTTTTGACCTCGTATCTCATCAAATAATGTTTCCCGTTGATTCTATGGTTGCTTCTGCCACTAGATCCTCGTATGGTACTCCGTTTCTTACAGCATAGCGTGCCAACCACAAGATGATGATCGGCTGACAGCGCTGCGCCTCTCTTAACGAGAACATCCATAACAGAGCGTCTTAAGTCTGACGATACGATTAGCAAATCGACCATCGACTTCAGCGCAGAAGCTTCCCAGCACCAGTATGCTTATAAACGCTTTGATGCTCAACGAATGTGTTCATAATAGACAGTCCGGTGTTAGCACAAAATCTCAGCAACTTCATGTCGTTATTGTTGAGGTTGCTGAAGC